ACAATTTACGACCTTTGGGCTCAAAAGTATTTTCTAATCCCTGCGGAGCCCAGATTACAAAAAGCATGTTCCCTCCAGCCCTCATTAGCATCTGGCTGGGTCATGTCTCTCGCTTGCTAGTGTTTTCTGGTCAGTCTCATTTTTAAAATTGACCACTCACCAGAGAGTGGTGAATGCTCACACACTCACTGGGCAGAAATCTGCAGAGAACTTTCTGGCTTCAGAAACCAGCTCCTTCAAGCTGACTGGGGTGGTGTTGGGTCCTGATGAGCCCATCCCATGATCCCTTCTGCAAGAGAACCAAGTTAAGGGGTTTCTGTAAGACACTTGGGGTCCCTTCTATCCTCAGGGAGGGGCCCCCATCCTTGAAGACTGTGGCTTCTGTCAGATCTGAAATAAGGACTGAAGATCAGATAGCAGGCCCCCTTCTACAGAAACAAACCAAAACGGGGGATTGCTGCAGGGACCCCCAGAGCAGTAAAGGAGAGGTTCACTGTTTGGAAAGTTCCATATGCCAAGTCAAGCCCTGGTCCCCAGAGCACAGAGCCGTGCAGCAAACCTGTTCCCTCGGCCAACGTCTGGTGCCAGCTCCATGAGGGTGAACCTTGGGGTACTGAGCTATCTTCCGCTGGGAAGTCTCTCTCCCTTCAGGCTGCTCACTTTCTCAGGAGTCAGCTCTCCTTCCTTGCATGCTCACCTGCCTGTTCAAAGCAGATGGGGAGCAGTTGTTTCCCCTGGAACTGAGTCTATCTGTTGAGGACCTATCTATTCTTTTTGGCAGGGAAAAGGGGAGCAGGGAGGGATAAACTCTCACGTCATGGGCCTGCGTAGGACAGCGGGGTTGGAGGCCATCTGGAGCAGGTGCTGGCAGGGCCCCTGGGAAAGGGGAAGGAGGGCAGCTGCCTCATCAGGTGGGGGTGTTCTGGGGTCAGACAAAGACTCATGGCATGATGAAGCTAAGCTTTCCTGGAATTTCTGGCCTGCGAAGGATGAATGATGCTTCCTTGGCCTCCAGCTCCTCTCCTAAGGCCAGGCCCATAGGTGCAGGACTTCAGGAGTGAGGTGCCCGGTTCAAGCAGACCTGGCTAGGCCTCTCTGTCCCCTGAGGGTCTGTTCCACCAGACAGTCCTGGGATCCTGTGTACGTGCTGTGACATTCAGATCCCTCTGCCTCAGCTGCTTCCTGCTGCTTTTCCCAGGGGCTGGAGGTCCTCAAGGGGCCTCTAGATCTACTCTGCCCCTGTCCAGGAGGCAAGGACTGTCTTCTCACAATTACAGGTGGTGACACTGAAGGCCCTGCACAGGGATGGGACTTGGCCAAGGTCCCGCTGCTATTGTCCTACCCAGCTTCCCCAAGAACTGCTCACTGCCTGTTTAGTGTCCTCTCTGAGAAGCTCTGCAGCTGGAAAGGGGCCCCAGGATGAAATAACTGCAAAGAAAACAGATGGGCTGCTCTGCAGTCCTTCCGAGGGAGGACCCGAGATTCGGCCTCTGCAGCCCCTGGACGGGAGGGGGCGCTCTTGCCCACTTTCTGGGAGGGGCTGCGCCGTCTGGTCTGGCTTAGCCAGATCCTCAAACTCCCAGAAGCCTTGCACCTTTCTGGCCCGAGAAATCCTGGCCAGGGCCCCCTCTCCTGTTTCCTCCTGTCATGTTGCACACTGGGCAGTTACTGTTCCAGGAAGGGCCCCTCTGTGATGGGCATGCTTTACCTTCCCCTTCTTGGATAGAATGAAGAGGCACCCTCTAGAGAGGGATCTTTTCTTTCAGATCCCCGCCCTCCAGGGGACCTGGGGCAGGGGGTGGGGGGGGGGGAGAAAGAGAGAGAGAGAGAGAGAGAGGCAGAGAGGGAGAGAGAGAGAGATCCCCGCTATGCAGCACTCTGATGCCTGGCTCTGACAGTCCCCACTCCCTGCTCCCCCTGCCCTCTCCCCCAATTGATCGCTCTCCTTCAAGCTTGCATAATCCCCCCTCCCCCATTGGCTCCCACTTTAGGAAGACAAGCCCCTCCCCACTCTCTGTCACATCTCCTGCCTCCAGACCCCAGAATTGCCTCTCTCCCAGGCTTTCCTAATTCTGGACACATAGGTTCTGCCACTTCACTAGCACCTAATCTGCCTCAATTTCTCTAGGTCATCCTTTGCAATCTTCTCATTTGAGTTTTTTATTTTTTGTCCTTTGTTTTTTTCTTGGACAATTTCTTCTGAGCCCAAGTCTGTTAGCCTGCTGGGAGTTGCTTTATTTTCTATCTAGATTTTCCTCTCTTCCCTCCCCATCCTGTGTTTCTGGCTTGGCATAGAATCTCCTCTGGGAACCCACTTTGCTGACCCAGCCTGGGCCCCCCAGGGTGCCACTTACCTGTCATTGCACCTTTCAGCTGACACAGCCAGTGTGTGTTTCCTAGCAGTTCTTCCCTGCTGGGATGGAAGTCAGGACACTGAGCAGCTTCGACGGATGCTCTGTGGATACCTAGGAGATCGGTGACAAATGACAGGATTCCCTACAGAATTGTCAGGTCCCTAAGACCCAGAGGGCTCTTCTCCCTCCTTTGCTATCAGGAGTCTCAACAAGAAATCAGGACAGTGGCCTGAACGAGCTCATTTCAGCTGCTCTGTGAGTTTCTGAGATAGACCCGTAGGACCGGGCAGAAGGAGTAGACTTCCCATGGGAAAGACAGGAAGGGGCCAGACCCCATATCTAAGCCCAGGAGGCAAACTATAGGGAGCGTGAAACCTTCCTCTCTGCTGCACTTAGGTGCTGTCCCTCCCTGACATCCCTACAGCCCAGACCTGGAACTCCTACCCACCCTGCCCCAGCTAAACAAAAGCTGCTACAGCCTGCCCCAGGGAAGCTTCACTCTGCAGGTAACTCTTCAACTTAATGGTCAAGAGCCACAGATACCAGAAGATTCCCTTTGCAAAAAGGGGAAGTGGAGTGCAGGGTGTTGGCCCTGCCATGCTGGGATGTGGGTATTGGCTTAACTAAGTCCCAAAAATCAAATAGAGGGGAGACCTAAAGTCACGGGCCATCACCAAGTGACCCAGGGACACAGAAGACAGGAAGAAGCAGCCTACAGACACTGAGAAGGAGGTGGCCATGAGCATGGAAGCTTCCAACCTGCGCTTTTAAAGGAATTTCAAAGGAGGTCACTGCTGCCTCAGAAACCAGCCAGTGTCTGCCTCTAGAGGCAGTTTGTCTGGCTCTGCTCAGCTCTTTAAGCAGGTATAAATAAAACAAATCTTAAAGAAGTTTGGCTGGTACCAGCCCTCTTTGTCCTGTAAACAAAAAAGAGAGAGAACTTTCATAGGCCACCTGGAAGCTGTCCCTCTTTCTCCTTGTTTCTCCTCTTTTCTCCTCAAACGGGAGTGCTATGACTCCATGGGTGGAAATGGAGGTGATGAGTCAACTCAGCAGAACTGACAAAGGATGCGAAGGCGACATCTGGATCTTCCTAGAGGTCAGGTGATCTGCTGCCCCAAACTCAGACCTCACCAGTGGATTATCTCCTAAACAAAAAAGATCCTGGTAGCTATTGGTCCTCAGTTTATGACTCAGGGCACAAGTTGGGAAGGGGCCATGGGAGAGAGAGACTGAGAGACTGAAAGAGCAGATAAGAGGCCCTTACTTCCTCAGCTCCAGACCTGATTCCACTGCCAGAGCCACGTGGTGCTCCAAGCCTCTTGACTCCAGCAGCCTTCCTGTCTCTAGTGAGGTCTCCTCTCCTTCCTCTCTCAGGTCCTCTTCACTCCTGGGGACCACCGTAAGCTTGGTCACAGGACATTCCTTCTCCACTTTCCTGCCTTCAGCCTGCTCAGCACAGGGGGCAGAGATTCCTGCACCTTGCTCACTTCTTGGAGTTGCAGGCCCTTCAGCAGTTGCATGGCCCAACAGGAGGCAGGAACTCCCCTGGAATTGGAGGAACCAAGCAACCAAGCCAAGGAGAGGGAGTCATCAGCAGCAGAGATACCTGGCTTATCCTGATAGCCACATTGGGAACCTCTCTACAGCCCAATACATGAAGTTAACCCAGGACTTATGGAGGCTAGGCAGAGCTTGGGCCTGGGCAGGTGCATTGGACACTAGCAGACATCCCCAAGCGGCAGATCCTGGTGCAGTAACAGGAGAGGGCAGACCGCACTGGCCAGCACAAACGGAAGCCACCTGTAGGGTCAGATGCCAGGACACTCTGTACAGCGATCCCAGCTGAGAGTGAACCTAGAGTCGCAGTGGCCTAACATGGTGCCACCGCCTGTATACACATGGGTACAGGTATTTTGGGCCTGCCCTCACAGTCCCCCTGATTCCCGGCTGGTGCTCTAATATGAGGGCTGGCGAAATGCTCTCACTTTTGCGTGTAGAAGACTTGCACTCCCTGCTGCGGTCAGGGGCAAACACCCCCCCTCACTCTTTGCCTCCCGCCAAGACATTGGTGCTATCTCTGATGCCCAAATCTAAGACTTCAACTTCGGGGCTATCGGTACTCCCACCCTGGCGCGGAGGTAAAAAGTGGAGCCGCAATGCCAGACCGCGCGTGTCGGGTGCCCTGGGAAGAGTTTGGCAACAAGGCAGACGTGCAAGAATCTTGGAAGGCGCCAACTTACTGGCTGCGCTCCTTTAGGTAAGTGACTTAATTCCTCTAAACCTGGCTTTGCACCTGCAAGGAGAAATACGGATCTCTTCCTCCTAGAGAGCATGTAGTGGGTACCCAGCGAGTGCACAAGTCACTGGGCGCACCGACGCTTGCATGCCAGGGCGCTCGATCTCTGCAAATGGAGTTTCCTTGCGCGCTGCTTTGCAGCTCCGAGTGCAGCCAGAAGCTAGCTCGGGGGGTGAGTTGTGGGTGGGGGCAGAGGGGAGAGCCCCCGCAACTCCCTCCCGGCCCTCGGCTCGGCCTCGTGCGCGGTGCCATTGGCCGGGGCGGCCCGGTGGGCGGGAGGATGACATCAGCGGCAGGTTGGATTATAAAAGCACGAGCGGAGCCACGGGCTCAGAGCGCACCCAGCCGGCGCCGTGCAGCACTGGGACCCGCACTCGCCTGGCAGCCCTGCCCGTCTGCCCGTCGGCCCCGCGTGCCCTCGCTGCTGCGGGTCTGCGCCCCTGGACCCCACCGGCACCATGCACCTCTCCCAGCTGCTCGCCTGCGCTCTGCTGCTCACGCTACTCTCGCTCCGGTCCTCCGAAGCCAAGCCCGGGGCGCCACCGAAGGTGGGTGCTGTCGCGGGGACGTTGGGCCTGTGAGGGGCGTGGGAGGATGTGGCGAGCTGGAGGGACTGGAGAGTGCGAGAAGGCAGCCTTCTTCCCTGGATATATGTCCTCGAAGCCCGGACGCACGGGGTCTACTCCCCTAACCTCGGGAGAAAGTCCACACATGCGCAGCCCCCCACCTCATTGTGGCCAGCCCTGCAAGTGGCAAAGGAGGGGTGGGCAAAGGGCTCCCCGAAGGAGCGGACGATCACGACCCCGTGGCGGCTGGATGGGGGCTAAGTTGTGCGGCTTCTGTGAGGGTGCACTTGCGGCTAGGAAGGGACAACCGTGCTGACGGGAGCGTGGGGCTTGAGTATCAGAAGCTCGGCAAAGTCACCTGCACTGCAGCCGTGCGTCCCTTCACCTGCCCACTCTTTTCTCTGACAGGTCCCGCGAACCCCGCCAGGGGAGGAGCTGGCTGAGCCCCAGGCTGCCGGCGGCGGTCAGAAGAAGGGCGACAAGACTCCTGGGGGCGGCGGCGCCAACCTCAAGGGCGACCGGTCGCGACTGCTCCGGGACCTGCGCGTAGACACCAAGTCGCGGGCAGCGTGGGCCCGCCTTCTTCATGAGCACCCTAACGCGCGCAAATACAAAGGAGGCAACAAGAAGGGCTTGTCCAAAGGCTGCTTTGGCCTCAAACTGGACCGGATCGGCTCCATGAGCGGCCTGGGATGTTAGTGCGGCGACCCCTGGCGGCGGTGAGTACCGCCAACCCGACCGTAGGGCGCTCGCGCTCGCTCGCAGAGCTTTAGCGCCCTGGGGAACCAAACCGTACCCCCACAGCACAGGCGGGCTAGGTTCCTCGCTGATCCCTGGGCCCTGGGACCTACCGAAACCCAGCTGACCTCTAGAGCCGATCCAGGAGATCCTCGCATGGGACCGAGTTTGTGCTAAGCATTTGCCTGCAACCCTATTTATCGTCCCAGAAGAAATAAGAGAAGGACGAAGTGGTCAGGGAGCCTTGGAAAGGTCAGAGTTGGCTTAGCCTGAATGAACCCATCTGCCTCCCTTCATAGAAGCAGAAACAGGCTTATGGGGTCCCATCCACCGAACTAGCACTTGACCTGTTGTCCCTGAAGTGGGAATGATTGGAGAAGTGCGCGCCCCTTATGGTAGAGAATGGCCTCCATGAGCAGCATGTGGGAGCCCTTCTCCGTGGGGCATCCTGATTCTTGTCCCTTTTTCAAACCCCTTGTGGGCAAACTGGTCTGTCCAGGGTCCTGATGCTGCTTAGCCCTGTGGTTCAGGGGAGAACTTCGGTGTTTGTGACCCTGTTTTAGGTCAGGGAAAGAAACAGACTAAAATAAATCCAGGTCTTGCCCCCAACCTCAAACTCCACATACCCAACAAAACAAATTTCCTCACTAACCCTGTCCCCCCCATCCAAATTGCGCTGTGGGAACCCTGTTTCTGGCATGGCGTCTTCACCTTCCATCAGAAACCTCTGCCCTGCCAGGTGTGCTGATGCCAATTTACTGCTACAAAACCTCCCTCCCCTGCTCTCCCCTCTCCATTCTTGCTGCCCACCAGTGCACATGGAATAACATCTGACATTGACATTCAAGGACATTCGGGTCAGGCTTCTGCTGCTTTCTAGCCTTGCCTCCAGCCCAGCTGCTGTCCCACACCCTGTCTGTCCCACCCCAGGCATAAGGAGGCTGCTCTCTCCACCCAGAAAGCCTGGTCAGTGACCACAGCCTTCTCCCAGCAGGAAACAAGAGGGCCTCTCCAGAGCATTGCCTGAGACTTTTTTATGGTTCAAGACACTTTCACAGGAAGCACATTTTGATTTGTGACCTATTCAAGTCCCCATATTGATTTATGCAATTTAAGGGCCAGACGCTGGCCTAAGGCAATCTGCAACCTACCTCACCCCCAAGGGAGAACTTAGAAATATTTGTCAATGACCAGAGGAACCTGCATACTCAGACTCATCCCACCCGCCACCTGCCACCTTCTCTGTTTCTGCCTCCTCCTTCCTCTCTGCAGCCAGGTTTGCTCAAGCTTTGTGCTTCTCCCCAGTTGCCTGTGATCTTGACTCTCCCCTGTATGGGGAGAGAAATGGTTCTGGCACTTAGATTCCAGCCCTCAGTGCTACCACTGTGATGTCTTTTGCTCTCTTTTCTCCTGTCTGAACAACAAAGAGATGGAGTTCAAAGCTTCAAATGATCAGTTTGTGACTTAAGTGCCAAGCTCAGACTTCAGAATTTAAATGGTGTTAGTTAACCTTCTATGGGTTAGTGCCTAGAATGTACTTTCCTGAAAGTGCTGCCTTGTTATTGGCATGGCTGGGTGTGGGCACCAGGTGGTGGCCACAAGGGTAGTGAGTTCAGATAGCTAAGACTCCTCTGACCAGGTCAGGAATCAACCTCCTGGAAATTCTTAACTTAGATGACCGATAACAGCCTTAGCCTGCTCCACCCCACCCTCACCGACCCCATCCTGGTGAGAGTGGATCATCCTTCCTACACCTGCAGTCTCCTGGAGAGATGCCCAGGATAAAGCCTTAAAGAGAAAAACAGGTTGTGGCCATTTCTCCACTCAGGGGGTTGACTTTAGTTTCAAGTACCACCATAATCACTGTTGCTGATGATGGTTATAGGTCTGGATTATAAACTACTAATGACAGAGACTGGATGGCTGAGACCTCAATGAACACTTTGCCCCTGGGCCCCAGGAACATCACAGGCATCTTTCATCTAAACTGATGGAGCAGCCAGAGAAGGGGAGAGAGAGCCGTACAGGCCTGGAGTCCCTCAGTGAGTGCTGTCCTTAGGGAGGACTATGCACTGTCTTAGGAGGAGAACTTCCTTGGGTCCTGGAGCACCATATATCTATTAGCAGGGACCGGGTACAGCTCTTTTCACAGTACTCTGATCCTCTTAACCCAGCAACCAACTTGACTGACATTTCCTCAGGCTGTCAGACATCCTTTGCCCTCGACTCCAGGGGACCTGGACTAGCCCCTCTGCAGCGAGGGCAACTAGGGAAGGACATGCTCTTTACTGAGTGGTGGCTATGAGCCAGACCCTGCTGCTGCCTAATATGGGGCTCCTGTTGAATGCCAGCACCTTGGGAGGTGGCAATTATCCACTTTATGGGTGAGGAAAACAACACTCACAGCAACCCAGGGAGTGGAGTTTGAAGCTGAGATTTGAACCCAGAATTCCTGACTCCCCAGATGTTTCTCTTCTCTGTCCCTCTGTGGCCACCCTGACACATAAAGCGGGGCAAACCCCTGGCTGAGGGTTTGTATTGCAGCAAAAGAGATTGAGGCACGGGGGCGGGGGGGGGGGCGCTTGCTTTTCCTTAGCATACCTCATGGTGCTGAGGGCAAAGCCTGGATCAGAGGAGGCGGGGCGGGGGGGGGGTTGCTGGAAGACATGCTGGTTCTACCTGAGCTGGGGCAGCCAGTGCCAAGGGCAGCCGCACAAGCTGAGGGCGAGTGCAGAAGGCCTTTCCCCTCCACAGGAAAGCCTTTGTCAGAGGCCCGAGGGTAAAGGCAGAGGGACATTACTTTGTGCTGCTGTGGAAAAGGGGAGGAAGGTTCTAGAAATGGCCTGTAGGCTGGGTTTCTCAGCTAAAAGGCCAGAACTGAGTGTCCTGTGTCCACTCTGTTTCAGGATTGGGAACTTGCTCCTTGTGCTGAGGTCATCCTTGGTCATCAGCCTCTAGCATCTGGAAACACCTCCAACGCAATGTGGCTTTTACATTTCTTCTTTTTTTTTTTCCCCTGGTACTGGGAATACACAACACCAGCTGTTTTATTATTATTTTGGGGAGGGGAGGGTATGATTTTATTGTTTGGGGGTTTTTTTGAAAATTAAAAATAAAAAGTTATATATTATATATATATATTATATACATGAAACCCACACACCTACACCGACTTGATGACAAGGGACAGTTTTTAAGAGACTGACAACACCAGCTGTAAAACATTGCTGTTTGTAAATTCATGTCATGCATAAATGTATTTATGTTGTAAAGCTATTTATATTGTTTATAAAGAGATATTTATAAAAATTTTATTTATGTAACTAAATGAAAGAAGCCAATCATTGTAATGTTTTTGTCCTAACTAGTTGAAAAAATGTAAAAAAAAAAAAGTCATTCCATGAACATATTGAAAACTGTCTTTATTTACTCATTGTATTTATTTATTAGGAATTAGTCTGAGGCAGAAAGCAAATTTGATCACAAGATATTTACCTCCAAAATAGATCAGTCAGGTTCCCAATTCTGGATTTATTCATACCAGAATACCCCAGGGAGCTTGATAAAAAAACGGATTCCTGTCCCTATGCTCCCTTTGCTCTACTGAATCTGAGTCTCTCAGGACAGGACTGGCCATGTAGACTTTGTCCCAGGTGATTCTGACTAGCTCTGCTCAAGCACCTGACCATTGGGAATCCAAGGCCACTGACCAAATTGAAATTGGATTCGGCTGCCTTAAGGGCTGCTCAATCCCACTCCATCTTTTCTGTGAAATGTCCAGAAATCTCAAGAAATGTACCTTTGCTTTGGGGAGAATGTGTCTGGACATCTTGCAGGAGAACCAACCCACCCTGGGCGTCTCAACTACTCCCTTACAGACTTGCTCCCAGTGTCTAGAATGGGTCATTTCCTCTAATGACTGCCACGCTGGGCTGGAAGCCTGAGGCTGAGGCCCTCAGAGGCTGAGTAGGTGTTGGCGGAGTTCATATCTGTGTCACGTGGCATGCTTTTGTGAGGGGTCTGTGGTTTTTCTCTTCATTTGAAGCTGTGACAATTACAGTTCCTAAGCCCCATGGAGCCTTGAATGTGAAATTATGAATAATGATTTTGAATTTATGAATATAATTTAGATTAGATCTCTTTGCCTAAAACCAATAAATAACTTGGAGGTAATCTCACCACATACTCCGTTCCACAACACTCCTGTGTAATGCTCCTTGTTCCCAACAGGGGAAAGCAGAGACCTTTTTTAAAAAGCTTCTCCGGCTGCTGACATCAGGTGCATTGGAAGCGCTCTGTTCAGGAGAGTTGGGAACTTCAGGCCAGAGCCAGGGGAAGAATTCTAGAAGAAACCTGGCCAGAGAAGGTGGCCAGTAGTACCTGGTCTTCCTGCTGGCATGAGGAGCCCCTTGTTCCTTGCAGCCCTCCAGCAGCAAGTTCTCGGAGATGCATAGCCAACACAGACATTTCCTGCTGGGGAAGGTGGGATCCCCCACCCCTCCACTTCCGCCAGTGCCCTTGGAGACAGCTCTCCAGTCCCGGGCCTGGCACCTTCCTGTCTCACTCCCTCTGTGACTGGAGATGTGGTGTCCATGCTGGTGAGGATGAGGGTTCCAGCACCCAGGCCTCACCAGGGCTTTGGCTCACTGTGCTGTCCACAGACCCCCTTGAAAGGAGAAGTGGAGGAATGTGACAGGGCCAGGGAGATAGAAGACCGGGCAGGTTTTACCCTGCAGGTTTCACTGGTGACAATGCAGGCGCTCTTCCAAAAGCCCAGAGACAGAAGGGACGGTGAATTCTGGGATCCAGGGAACTACTACTAGATGCTGAAGGATTTCCCAGTGGACAGCACCTGGGCTGCCAGCATCCAAAAGCACATAAGGATTCTCAGCCCCAAACTATAAGTACTATTCTCCTGAGTAGCATGCATCACATGCAAATGACACAGACCACCCTCTGCTGCTAGTGTCCACCTCTCTGGGCCAAAGCCAGCCCCTCAATCTGTGGGTTAGTAGATGGTGGGGCAGCCAGGCCTCCTTGTACATCCACTTTGGAGTCCTGTCACTGCCTCCTGAGCAGCAACCGAGACATGTCATTCAGCCAGGGAGTTCTGCTGGAAATCCAGGAAGTACTGACAAACATTCAGTAAGTACCTGGAAATGTTGGGAAGCCTCCAGGGATTCCCCTGGTGATACTGTCAAGAGCTCTGAGCATCTGGTATGGGTCCTACCTCCTTTCTGGCCTCTTGCATCTCATCTCAAGCTACCCACAGAACCTGCAGCTTCGCTCCCACATGGGGTGACAGCAATAACCAGGACCTGCTTAAAGACTGGCTGTAGGGGTGGGGAGCCTGGAGTCCTGGTCTTCTGGGACAGACTGGAAAACTCTGCAGGGTTAGAAGCTGCCCTGTGAAGGGCCAGGTGGGCAGAGTAGTGGGGGTCAGGTGTTGTAGGGCCCAGGAAACCTGTCCTTTGCTGAACTGCTCAGCTACTGGGGGCCAGAGAGTGGTGGGCAATATAGGAAGAGTTACAGAGACTGTCACTCTGTCAGCTTTCCATTTTCTTATCTTCTTATGTGGTGTTTCCACTTTCATGTCTTATAGTCATGCTTCTCTTCCTAACAAGTGTAATTTAATTTTGGCTTACTATTTTGTACTATTAACTTTAGTATTATTGAGATTGGGTTCAATCTTTGTATAATTTCTCCTTATAGTAATAATTATTATTATCATTAAATCTATCAATTCCTATGTTTTAATCAATTTTCTACATGACACACGGATACTTTGAAAATAAGATGAATGCCTATTTGCATGGTTTGAAATTCTGTAAACTTTTAATCCATTTTACTTTGTGTACTATTATATTCTGACTCTATTTAAAAAAAATTTAGTTGTAGGTGGATACAACACCTTTTTTTATTATTATGTTGTGCTGAGGATCAAACCCAGTGCCTTACACATGTAAGGAAAATGTTCTACCACTGAGCTACTACCCCAGCCCCTGACTCTATTTTTAATTCACTGAAGACTGATAATAGTGTTGAAAAAACATACTGTGATTTTATTTTTTCTATTCTCATATTTTAATAGTTTTAGTTGTTATTTATTCAGCACATGAGAGTTCAGTATTAATATATGTATTAGATAGGATATGTGAAGGTATGCTAAGGTAACAAACCACCTCAAATCTCAGTGGCTTAAATTCTAAAGATTTGTTTCTCGTTCATACAAAGTCTGCTGTGGGTGCCCGTGCAACCCTCCAGGGCAGCTCCTCACCCTACCTATGTTAGCCCATGCACCTATGTGCTAGTCAGCTTTCTGTCATTTTAAAGAAATACCTGAGATAATTAACTTATAAAGAGAAAAGGTTTGTTTTGGCTCACAGTTTTGGAGGTTCTATGATTGGTTGGCCCCATTGCTTTGGGCCTATGGTGAGGCAGCACATCATGGTGGGAGTGTGTGGTAGAACAAAACCAATCACCTTACAAGCCAGGGAACAAAAATATTGAGGAGGGGGCTGGAGACCCTGATTGCCTTCAAGAGCATGCCCCCAGTGACCCAATGACTTCCACTAGGCCCGACTTCTTAAGGGTTCTACCATCTCCCAATAGGGCCATCCTAAGGATCAAGCCTTTAACACAAGAGCCTTGGGGATTTTCATGATCCAAATCCACATGTGTTTTCTCCATCAACAAAGCAGGGGAAGAGAGCGTGCCAGGAGGTCAGACCATGAAGGACTTCCACCCAGACACAATATGAGACTTATGTTCATATTTGATTGTCCAAGCAGTGCCGCCCTCCTTGTGCCTAGAATGGAGGAGGCCTGGATTCCAACCTGCAGGAGCGGAGCTGTGCTGATGCAGTTTCCACCAAGCCCACTCCTTTCTTTGGTGCCACACACCCCCTAGGAAATTCTTTTTTAGGTCATGTGAAAATAAATTCCTGCTTTATTTTTATTTGTGCTTGATAGCTTTGCTCAAACTTTGATTCTTTCCCTTTTTGTGTTTTTAAAAGTTTAGGTGTATTTGTAATACAGTATTTGAGAAATTTTACCTTTTAACCAGGAGACCTAGATGCTTCACATTTATCGTCATTATTTCTTATGCTTGGGCTGACTTCTGACTTCATCTTGAGTATCAAGGTTCTTTAATCCTGCCCCCCATAGATGGTTGTGCTTGCTTATATCTTCTGCAATGATTTGGAAAGTAGACATCCTGTTTTCAATTCTGTTAGTGGTTCCTTGAAGTTTTTCATGAAAATTACTAAACCCACCTTTATACTGTTATCAGAATTGAAATCACAGAAGCTTCGGGCTCCTTTAGAAGAGAGACAAAAGAATTGAGTCCATTTGCTTCTTCCTTGTCTCCTCTACCCTTTAAGGATCTCCATGAATACAGTCTGAGACACTCCCCTTAACTGGACCATTAAAAGTACCAAAGCCTTTCCTCCCTTTCAGTATCTTCCTGGGTCTGCTTACGTCAGTTGTTCAGACATCTGACCCCGACCCTCTTCCAATTCAGGCCCCATCACACACTCCTCTTAGTCTAGGGCTGGCTCCCCTGCTCCTGCCTGCCTTCTATGACAGTTGCCCCCTCCTGCGGGCCTGGGTTTGGACTTCAGCCCAATGCAAGGGCATGTGAATGTGTCTTAGCCCATTTCTGTTGTTCTGACAAAATTCATAAAGAATACAGGTTCATTTGGCTCTCAGTTCTAGAGGCTGGAAGTACAACAGCATAGTGTTGGCACTAGCTTGGCATTTACCTTCCCTTGCAGGCTGGGAGACCTCACCATCTATAAGATGATGCAGTATTGGTATTGTCCTTGTGCCAAGATGCACAAGGGTCTGCTCTGAGCCTGACCCTAGAAAAGCTGTGGTCAGTATTGTACTAGTACATGCAGACTCCATCCCCAAGGACGCAGGCCTCCCAAACTGTGAGCAAGAACTCAGGCCCACTAACAGTGACCTGCATTTGGAGCAGCCTAGAGGATGAGGCCACCACCTTAGTCACCCATCACTCCAGAAGCCCATGGCACTTCACCCATGGACAGAACAAGCCCACATGCTTTCTTCTCATTTCCTCCAGGTTGAGACTTGATGGCTCACAAACCCTCAAAGAGGACACTGGCCACTACACACTATCAATGCACTACTCTACAATGGGGCCACCCTCCAAAATGGCAGGCTAAAAACCTCTATTTATTTATTTATTTTTGGTACTGGGATTGAATCCAGGGGTGCTCTACCACATCCTCAGTCCTTTTTAATTTTATTTTATTTTCTAGTTGTAGGTGGACACAACACCTTTATTTAATTTATTTATTTATTTACATTTATGTGGTGCATGAGGATTGAACCCAGTGCCTCACATGTACTAGGCGACTCTCTACCATTGAGCCACAATCC